GTAGACAGTGTTAAAGATGACAGCGGCAAATGGGCTTCTGGGGATACATGGGGGGGGGGTCTTGATCACCTTAATTGGGATGGGAAGACCCATCACTGGGTGGCTCCATTCCCTGATGAAAGGATTCTGGTCTCTCAGGGGAGGAACCTAGACCCAGGAGGCAGAAGCAGGTGGATTTCTGTGAGTCTGAGGTCAACCTGGCCCACACAGTGAGTTTTCCAGGCCAGCCAGGGCTACCCTGTCTCCATCATGATGATAATAATACTAGAGGCACACACCCTTAATCCCAGCACTCAGGAGGCAGAGGCAGGTGGATCAATGGGAGTTCGAGGCCAGCCTGGTCTGCAGAGCTATACAGAGAAACCCTGTCGCGAAATTTGTTTTAAAAAGACAATAATGACAGAGGAGCAAGCTGAGCACTGGTGAGAGATGTGCATCCATCCTGTCTGATGGATGCAGTACACTCACTGTCCCTCAAGCCCCTGCCTCCATGACTCCCGTTATGATTGACTGCGGCCCGGAATGGCAAGCCCGAACAATCCCGCCCTCCCTTACATTGCTTTTGTCAGGGCTGTTTCATTACAGCAGCAGGAAAAGAAACTGTAAAGCATACAGGAAGTATGACTCGGGAGAGAGAGCCTGGATAGAAGTACGTACAATTTCCCTCACTGGAGAGCTAAAATGTCACACATCTGATATATTCAGGGCCCAGCGGACAGGAGCCTACCATGGGCTGGAATTTCACTTGGCACCATATGGAGGCGGCGGAACCAAGGGAAGAGAGGCATGTGTATTCTAGGGAGGGAAATTGCACAAGCACCACTGTGGGGCAAACTACTACCCCTGGGAACATTGCATAAAGCAAGCTTCCCTGCTCATAAGTACATTGCATAAAGCAAGTTTTCTTGGGCCACAGCTACCCTCATTCTCTGGCTGCCTCTGTGTTACAAGGGTGGCTGTGGGTAGACACAACAGACTATGGCCTCTGAAGCCTAAGGTTTACTACCTGACCCTTCACAGAAAGTCTGCCGCTGCCTGTGTTTGCCTGTGTTGAGAAAGGGACGAATGAACTCTAAGGATGTACAACTGATCTAGAAGCAGTGGTCAAGGATGGTGAGGAATGAGACTTGTTTAGAGAGAAGAGCTTGGCTTTCCTGGAATGAAAAGGATAACACAGCCCCTGGTTGGGTTTGATGATTTCTAAAACATCTTTTCACTTGACTTCTATATCAATCCTGATAAAGGACTTTGATCCCCAACTTATAGAAGCCAAGATTTACAGGTTCTCTCTATATTGGAAATGGGGAGTCAAAAGCCAATCCATGCTGCCCACCCCCGGGGTATTTACCAAGCTACGATGTGCTGAGCAGGACCAAGGCTGTGGGATAGATACCGTGATGGACAAGACTTCAACTGTAGGTGGGTGCAGTGATGGGGAGTTTCTTCTTGGACTTCTGTGGAGGGGAGTGAACGCCTCCACTCTGAGAACAGTACACAGTGGTGCTGATGAAGGAGTGATGTCCCGCCCCACACACACCATCACTCAGGCACCAGTGGTTAGGGAAGCCATGCCAGGTAAAGTCACCTCAGGTGGGAAGACGGGAGTGAGATGATGAGAGTCATGGGCAAGGAGACCATGCTGACATTTTCAAAGAGGGGGAGTAAAAATTTTAGCAGACCTGAGGCTGGTTCAATCCTCTGCCCACTTATACGCCGAGAGCTTCAGTGGAGATTTCTTGGTCTGTCCAGGACCCATCTGGGGATTCGAAGTTATAGGCCTCACTCAGATCTGTCCTCTCTAGAGTGGAATAACAAACTGAGGGCTTCCTGTTTGTCACTGATTACAAAGCAGAACTGGCTAGTGTGGTGGTGCTGCCTTAAAGATAAGGCATGCGCCACCAGCACTTGGCAGGCAGAGGCAGACTGATCTCTGTGGGTTCGAGGCCAGCCTGCTCTACAAGAGCTAGATCCAGAAAGGCACCCAAACCACAGAGAAACCATTTCAAAACAAAAACAAAACAAGATAAATGACAGCCAAATTTGACTTAGGATAAATCTATTGTGCTGGGCTTGAAGATATTTTACTTTACATGGTTTTAAGATAGAGTCTTGATAGCTCACTGCATACACCAGGCTGGCCTGGAATTTGCAATGCTCCTCCGGCCTCTGCCTCCACTCCCATCCCATTAGGCTATTTTAAGAGACGTTAGAGAATCATCTGGGGAGGGGCACCTGTGCCTCCTCTTAGCACACAGCCTCTTCACTTGGTTGTTAACACCCCCACCCCGCCCGTAATTTCAGGAGTGGAGTGGTTTCAGCCTTTGGCATGGCTTAGGATGGCATGGCTTTTGCAGTGGTCTTGACAGGCTCAATAATTGGAAAAATTACTTGTTCACAATGGATACTGCCTTTTAGGTAAAGTGTGGGGGCAACATTTATCTTTTGGCCCCCAAATATTAGCTCTGTAGTGGGATGAGATTGTTGGGTCCTCTCATATTTTCTAGACTCTGAGACATGATGAAATCACCTGAGAAATTTCTAAAATCCTTATTCCTGGGCTGTATCCCAGAACAATGGAAGTAGCCCTCTCTGGAAAGAAAGTTGGGGAAACTATATTTCTAGAAAATCCCCAAGTGATTCCAGAGTGCTCAGAGGTTTAAGAACCCAGAGTCTGGAATCTATGGTGCTTCCCAGGCTGCTGGTGGATTTGGAGTTGTTGGACAGGGCTCACTGCTTGGCCTGCTTTAGGTGATTCACTCCACCTGGAGGTTAAGATCCTGCCTGGCAGGTTCAGTGTGGCAGCAGCCAGCCTGAACTGGGTGCTGACATTTGATGATGACATTCTATGGGAGCAAGGTTCACAGCATTGGCCACACAGAGGCTCACCTACATACCTGGAAGGCCAGATCTTCCAATGCTGAAGTCAAGGGATGCTGTGTTATGCCTGTCTGGAAGGTACCCATGGCACATACTTGCATCATTTCCCAGGCTTGTGGGGAGGGGATAGGTTGATGTAATGAATAAAAGTAGAACAGGAAGAAGAAATCTAAGGACAAGGCATCTGTGACTCACTGTGGTCCAAAGTAGGAAACCGGCCTTCGGCAGCCAGAACATAGCTGCTGCCTCAGCAAGGACAGGACTGGAGGTTGACTGAAAACTGGAGTTTTATACCACTTAACATTCTTTTGTAGATGAGTAAGTCTGTCTCTCTTAGAGATGGGCAGAGTAAAGTATAAAACAGCAGCTCTGTAGATGTGCGCCCAACTTATGGAGACTGGGCATGGAGAGTTCTAGAAGTGAAAACAAATGAGGGGCTCCAGTTTGGAAGTCCCCAGAATGAGTCAACAGAAAATGAAGACAGCCTGAGGCTCACATGGCTGATTTCTTCAAGGTCCAATTCAGAGACCTAAGAGGACATCCTGGCAGGCCCCCCACATCTTACCAGATGCCTCCCAATTCAGATGTGGAAGTCTCTCCTTGCCAGCTTCCCAGATGATGCAAGACCCACTGGGATTCTCTAGAGCTGGCCACACTGATCAGGACAGTTTAGATGCGTGTTCCATGGGTTGGGTCTTAGTTTGCCAGCTGTCAATCCCAACCCTGCAGTGTTTAAAGTTCAGTGACCACTACTGCCCCAGAGTGACCACATGGCCAAATGAGAACTCCAGGCTTGGATGGAATCCATTCTCATTTGTACTTGGCCACTCCCTAGCAGAGTGGGACACAGGCACATGGGGGCCAGAACAAGGTAGGTATATGTCAAACAAGGTGTCTAAAACAGCTAGCACACTGTTGCCATGAGGAGCAATGGGGTAGTTAGTGTACAGGGGGCAAGCTAGCAAAGAGCCTGTAATGAAAAGATGTTGCCTCCTCTCTGTGGAGTGCTGGGAAGGCAGAACCATCCAGACTCAGCAGTGCCCACCCCTCTTGGCAATTGTGGAGTCTGCAGTTTCCTGTGCTCTGTAGGGGTGGAGAGTGGGAGGATGCATTGGGATGCTGGCAGTGTGAAACCCCACAAATGGGTGTTGAAGGGGAAGGTCAGGGGTGAGTTCTCTTGGTGGCGGTGGCAGTGTGATGTGGGATCCGTTGTAAAATTCCCCAAACCAAACCCAAGAGCAGGTGTCAGAGGATGTCAAAGCCATCCCTCTCTGGGTCCCAGAGGTGACTAAACTGGTCCTAAGTCTGCTGGGTCTCTAAGATTAGGATAATTAGGGGAGAATTTTCACCAACCAGCTCCTATATCCAAGCCTCGGAGGGCAGCATGAAGATAAAACTGTGTAGACCTCAGCATCTAGCCTGCACCACACTGCAAGGGATAGGACTTCACTCTAACTCCATTCCTCCGTCTGCCTAGAGGCTGGGAAGGGGAAGTCAGAGTGAAGCATGCTGTGCAGGGAGAACATAGGACACACGTGGGATTTCTGGGTTGTTCTGCCCATGTGGATGAGGGTATTAGACAAGTTGATAAATACCTTAGTCTTGGTGTTCTCACTTGGAAACTGGGGTAATGAATCATCCTGCAGATTGGTTCTGAGACACAAGGAGGTGGCTGAGTACTTAGGTGCTCAGTAAATGCTGACTGTCCCTAGTAGAGGGACTAAAGGCCCCTCTCCCTACCAGTTTGTTCATTCGGCAAACTATCTTTACCTCTTATGAGCAAAGCTCATTGGCCCGACATGACCTCTGAACCGGAGGATATGTGCCCTTGCTTCCTGGTTCTGAGAGCTGTCAGCTTCTGCTGACATGTATTCACACTGCTGCAGCTTCACCGCTATTCCTTTGAGACACATAGGCCACGGGCTTTGCATCTTTCCATCTATGAGCACCTTTTCCTCAGCAAGCCCTGATCATATGACATTCTACCCGTCCACCAAGTTCATAGCCAGTGCTTGAGTGTGGGACACACTGACAGGTTTCCCAGCTGGGGAGGCGTCTGGGAGGTCTGCTCCCTGCCTTTCCTATCCCGAGAGCTGTACCCACTCCACTTCTGTTTCCTCCAGAATGTCTGTAAGGTAGTGGAGGAGACGCAGCACCCACCCACGCTACAGGAGATCAAGCAGAAGATTGACAGCTACAACAGCCTGGAGAAACACTGCCTGGGCATGAAGTTGGTAAGCAGGGCCTGCCACCCCTACCCAGCATCCTTTCTCTCTGCCTGGCTGCCTCTGCAGAAAGGTAGTAAGCAAGGCCCTCCCTATCCAGAATCCCCTCTCCCCACAGAAATAGATTAGGTTTTAGAATAGACTCCAGATACAATCTCTGTTCCATTTATGCTCTGGCCATTTTGGGTAAGTTTAACCTCTCCTTACATCAGTGTAAGATCTTTAGGGAATTAAGGGTGGTGATGCAGGCTTTAGAGCTTGGTCCCCAGGAAGCCCTTGGCTAGGGGAATTTTACAAGAGGAGAGGAGTATGTATTGGCAAGCACAGTGGCCTTGCACAGGGTCAGAGATTCTCTAAGGTGTGAGTCATGAAGAACCCTGCCCCCTGCTGGAGACCAGCAGCAACTGGCTCTTTGGGGTGTCCAAGTCACAGGTGCCACAGAAAATGCACATTTTAGCCAGTGGCTGGAGTTTGTTGCCCTTGATGCCCTTGCCTAGCTCGGTGATAGAGAGGTGACTGTATAGAAGGAGGACTCAACAAAGGCAGTTGGCAACTGTCTGGTAGAGGGTTTGGGCCAGCCAGCCTAAACTTCCTGTGAAGGAAGCCACAGTAACCCACCAACCCTCTCTGGTAAGTGGGCTCCAGACCCCCTGGCCCTGGAGGCGAGGGGAGCATCCTACCTCCAGCATCTGGAGCTGGCAGACTCAGGAAGAAGTCCACAGGCTGGGATGGCCCAGCGGCTCCCTTTGCTCACAGGCGATGTACTCCCCTCTTGCAGAGTGAAGATGGCACCTACACGGGTTTCATCAAAGTGCATCTGAAGCTGCGCCGGCCAGTGACGGTACCCGCTGGGATCCGGCCCCAGTCTATCTACGATGCCATTAAGGAAGTGAACCCTGCAGCCACCACAGACAAGCGGACGTCCTTCTACCTGCCACTTGATGCCATCAAGCAGCTGCACATCAGCAGCTCCACCACCGTCAGTGAGGTCATCCAGGGGCTGCTCAAGAAATTCATGGTTGTGGACAACCCGCACAAGTTTGCACTTTTTAAGCGGATGCACAAAGATGGACAAGGTATGAGGAGTGCATTCCCAGCCTTTCCCCCGTCTGCCAGTGCCCACACGCTGTCATTAAACCGACTGCGAGCCCTGGATAGGACTTGTGGACTTCCAGGCAGCAGAGGGAGAGCATGATCAGCTCATGTCTACCACTGTCTAACTCCATGCACAGGAAAGACATGATCTGGGTCCTGGGCTCCTAACCTTTATGAGGAGTCTGCCCGTTGATCTGCTTCCTTTGGAGACAGGGGCCTGTGAATGCCAGGCAAGAATGAAAGGCCCTGCCTCTGTGAGCAACCCGTCTTGTCAGGGTCATGGCCATTAACACCATGCCACAACCTGTGCATTTCCAAGCCCATCCCACCAAGCCTGTCCTTCCCTTTCGGGAGGAGCACCCAAGCCTCCCTTCTTTATTTGCAGTGCTGTTCCAGAAACTCTCCATTGCTGACTGCCCTCTCTACCTGCGCCTGCTTGCTGGGCCTGACACTGAGGCCCTCAGCTTTGTGCTGAAGGAGAATGAGACCGGAGAAGTAGAGGTATGTCTGAACTCCGCAAAGCCCAGCCATGGGTGGGAAATGATGAGCACCGCCTGCACTGCGTAGGTGAGGGTGTGTTTACCCCAGGGCTCTCAGGCGAGCAAGTTAAAAGCTGTGTATGGCAAGGCCTATGCAGAGGGTTTCACGTGCTGTTGGGGGAATGGGACTGCAGATGTGTACTGGAGTGGGGTTACACACTGACAGGCTGGTTTTGCCCCAGGATGGGCTAAGGCCCAGCAATTTCCAACTGGGTTTTCCTCGGCATAGGCACTTTTGAACCATTTTTTCTCCTAAAATGACTTCCTTTCTACTACAATGGGGGACTATCCAGTGTCAGTCCCCTGGTAAATATGCAGTAATCTTCCAAGCCCAGGACACTTAGGATGTTTAGAGGGGGGGGTTAGAGGAGGGGAGGGCTAAGTATTTATCACTATTCGGTGGCGGCTAGCAGGATTGTTTTTTGGGGGGTGGAGGGGGCAGTCACTGGAGATCTGGAGGATCTGAGCAGAACCGGGTCCTGCCCTCATTTCAACCAGGACAACTCAGCGTGGGGGTCTACAGCTGAGTCTGTTGGGAAAAGGGAGTCAGTGGACCTGAGGGCTGAGACAGTCAGCGTCCCACACGGCTGCTCCATGGTGTGGTTTCCTTACCTTCTCTCCATGGAGTGTGGGCATTAAAGCAGACATATCATAAACGACGCTCCCTTGTACTCAGAGCCTGGAGTCTCATCCCTTTCTCCCATGTGGAGGTCAGCCTGGCCGGCCAGAGCTGACTGGGAGGTGTCAGGGTATGTATACAGCCTACACTGGCTCACGAGGAGCCAATGTAGGGTGGAGTTTGGTGCCTGACGTCCACAGCCAGTGAGATGTCACCCTGCCTCTGGAGATCACAGCCAGCACCGAAACGAGGAAGCCCTGAGTTGACTCTTCTGTAAAAACGGGATGCGGTGCCAGTGTGGCTGATGTGACCGTCGTGTGTAGTACACATGTCATTCATGGTACCTGCATGTTCAAACTGTGTGGGACTGGCTCACTGATGCAGACTGGAGACAGTGGCAGGGCCCGAGTCATGCCAGCTCCTAACCATTTCCCGTTTTTCCCTTCTCCTCCTCACAGTGGGATGCCTTTTCCATTCCTGAACTCCAGAACTTCTTAACTATCCTGGAAAAAGAGGAGCAGGACAAAATCCACCAAGTGCAGAAGAAGTACGACACCTTCCGGCAGAAACTGCAGGCGGCGTTACGGGAGTCCCAAGGGAAGCCTGGGTAGCCAGCCTCCTTCCTGTCCTCAGTGCCCTCCCATTTATTTTATTATTTTGCAACAGACATTCTCAAACCGCCTCTGGGCCCACCTGTGCCTGCCCAGCAGTTAACAGATGTGGCACAGAGTCTCTTCCACAAAGTGTCTGTGCACAAAGAGTCCTGCCAACCCACTGCGCCATGACTCTGGAGAGATTCTGCCTGGACCAGAACTCATGCGGGACGAACAGGGTTGCCCCTGCTCAATCTGCTGGCCTTTCACAAACCAAATAGTTGCCTCTGGTCACCAAACTGCACCAGCCGGCAAAAAGGGAAGAAAGGTTTTAGAGCCCTGTCTCCTTTCTCTGGATTAATTCGTCATTCTTCTTTATCACCTACAGTATCTATCTTTATTTAGGGGTCAATGTGGCCTATTCCTTCAGCTGAGTCCTTGAAACCTCATCAAAGGACTGTCCTCCTTGCCCCCAGGTGCCTCCTCTTCGCTAAGACTAGACACTCAGGGTTAGCCTGAGATTTCCAGAGGCTCCAGCCCAACCTGGCCCTCTGTCACCCCATGGGCTGTGCACATGCAAACGTTTGCAAAGGCATTTACTTACATCTGTGTGGTATTTCAGCTTGGCTTTGTCTGATGATCTGATGATATGTTAAAATTTGAATTTAACATCGTTATCCTCATGGGTTTCTACCAAAGGGAAACCAGCCACTTAACAACTTTAGTTTCCTGCTGAGTCGCCAGAAAGTACTGCAGAGAAGCTACTCCAAGCTGTCGACAACTTGCCTGCAACTAGGAAGCAGAGGGTCCCGGCCCACTCAGTCCACCTCGGCATCCATCCTCTTGCTGTTGCCTGCCTGAGTGGTAGCCTTGATCCTTAGCAAGCCTGTGGGCCTGCCCTGCCCAGTGACTTCAGTGCCTTTTTGTTTTCAGAGAAAAGAACAGTGTTTCCCTCGGAAAGCTCTCCTGCTGGCTTGCTCCTGGCAAGAAGACAATGGTGGTGTAGAGAGGACAGGGGATCCCTCAGAGCACAGACAGATCACACACATACCTCTTTGCCAGCAAGCTTCCTGGTCAGGCTCTGACTTTGAAGATGCGATATTATTAAACCACAATGACAACATCAGGCTATGGCTACAGCTCTGACTAGTTCAAGCGGAACACAAATTAGCCAGGACTGCAAAGACACACAACAGAGCAGGATTAAAAGTTGTCCCTTTTAAAGAAGGCTGGCGTTCCCATCTAGCCTCAGAACAGACCACTTTCTTGCTGCCCTTGCCTCTCCACACCCCTCGAGTCGTTTTAAGCCCAAGCTGCTTCATGTCGCCTCAAAAGTTCCCGCCCCAGCTCAGGCTAGTCCACAACCCAGAGGGATTCTCGGTCCTTGCCACTCAGTCTTCAGAGCTGCCAAAGCAACACGAGCTAGCGACTCTGAGGCCGTGCATGCCATCAGCCCTGGCTGCCTGCCTCCTCGTGCTCAGCCTCATCGCTTCCCTCCCTCCTGTGGATTACAGGGACAGACAGAGGTCAGTCCCTTCATCCTGCATGTGTGTAGCATTAGGAGAAGGCATGGCTCCTGCTGCAAACACTGTGAATGTGTGAATGCTGCTGAGAAGCTCCCTCCATGGATGGCTATTTTATTTTTGAGACAAAAAGTCGTGTGTGTGTGTGTGTATATATATATATATTTATATACACACACACACAAATACATATGTGGTATATTCACATAGAGGCATATAGCTATATATAAAGAGAAGGTGTTTATGATAAAATTTAAAGTTTAAGCACAGTAGACTCGGGACCTCTACTGAGGTTGAGCCTCTGGGAAGGGTCAAGTTCCTTCAGTCCCAGAGCTGGGTGTAACTGCTGGTAGTGCCTTCTATGGTTCTATTGTTCTGTGGGTGTTTTAAGAATATTTTCTTTCTAAGTGTCTTTCTTATATATGTTTTTTAATGAGTAATAAAAGCTTACTGTAAAAACAATGCGCTGAAAACATCCTCACTGAACTTCACATCTTACGGGAACTGGGCTGGCGTGAAGTACTGAGCAGCAGTAGCTGCATTTCTTGGCAGAGCCCAGTTTTCTGTGGTAAGCTGGGAATAAAGACAACTATCCAGATTCTTTTGAAAAGATTGTCCAAACCTGGAGTACTGCCTCTTCTCCGTCTCCCTAGTACTGGGGAGGGGAGGGGACCCATAGCAACACACATACTGAGTTAGAAACGAGCAGGGGCTTTCTGGCTACAAAGGTAAGCAACAGCTCAGCTCTGTTCTGAACTCACTTAAAACTAAGATGTTAACGTGTCACTGATTTCAGCCACGAGAGGCCTGAACTGGTCCCAAGCAGCCCTCATTTTGGCATCTCTGAATTCACAGAAGAAGTCGCATATGTTAACTAGAAAGGACCACTGCCTTCCAGTGTTGCTCGTGCATCACGGAACGCGTGGAGGCTGCAGGGGCTCTCCACCACTCTCTACCAACACTTTTAACCCCGCCAGTCAATCACAGGACTCATGAGAGGGCTAGTGAATAAAGGTGCTTGCCACCAAGCCTGTTTGCCTGAGTTTGATCTCTGGAACCCACATGGTAAAAGGAGAAAACAGACTCTTAAATTTGCTTCTGACCTTCACTTGTGTGTGTGCTGTGGCAAATGTGCACCCACTCTCTGTGTAGCCCCTGGCTGTCCTGAAACTCAGAATCACCTGCTTCTGTCTCCTGTGTGCTGGGATTAAAGGCATCTGCCACCACACCTGCTTACAATGAAACATTTTAAAGAATCAGCTGCACTCTTACACCAGGGTCCATGCCAGATGGGTCTGCCTCGTCCCCTACCCCAGGTATCCCTGCCACACACACTCCAACCTGCAGGCTTTGGCCAGGACAGACATGAGGCCCACCCACTTACACTACTTCCTACCACCCGACTCTATCCTCTTGCACAAAAACTAACTCCATCCAAATGGATCAAAAACCCCTAAATGTGAGACCAGACACACTAAAACTGCTAGAGAAATCTAGAGAAATACAGGCAGTTTCCAAACACTATAAAACTGCTAGAGAAATCTAGAGAAATACAGGCAGTTTCCAAACAGTATAAAACTGCTAGAGAAATCTAGAGAAATACAGGCAGTTTCCGAAAAATATAGGTGTAGGGAAAGGACTCCATGAATAAGGATTCCATTTGCCCAGAAATTAAAGCCAACAATTCAGGAAACCAAGGGAAGAGAGGAAGCCCACAGGATGGGAAGAATTTTGCTAGATATACATCTGACAGAGCACTAAAGTCCAGAATATAAAATAATTCAAAAAGTCAGAAATGCAAACAACCCATTCAGAAAATGCTGGAAAGGGTGTGAGGAAAAGGAGCCCTCATTCACTTCTGATGGGTTGCAAACTGGCACAGCACTCTGGAAATTCACTTCTGATGGGATTGCAAACTGGTACAGCACTCTGGAAATCCATGTAGAGAATCTTCCAAACTCCGAAGGCAAATCTACCATACTGTCCAGCTGTGCTACCACTTCCTAGCAAGAGAGCTGACTTCCTGCCACACACATGCTCCATCACGTTCACTGGTGCTCCATTCACAACAGCCAGGAAACGGAAACAACCTAAATGCCTTTCAAGTGAAGATGGATAAGGAAAACCAAGCACATACACTCTAATACGCTACGGAATACAGTTGTAACCGGAATTCACTGGAAAGAAAAGTGAAACCATGATGAAATCTCCAGGTAAAGGATGAACTAGGAAAGACCACATTAAGTAGTAACCCATACCCAGAAAGAAAAACATCCCATGTTCTCTCACCCGTGATTCACCTAGCGTCAAATCTTCACAAGTAAAAATATAACCTGGAGTAACTGCAGAAACCAAAAAACCATGAAAGTGAAAGTAGACAGGTTGGGGGGGGGGGGCTATTCAAGTTTCCAAGGGAGGGAAGCAAGCAATAGTGATACCTACAAACCACAACGACCAGCATAGCAAAATGTCCCTAAGGGTACAAGGATGGCACTCTTCTCTTAGTGGTAGCCAGCTGTTTGACTTAAGGCCACTCAAGAAGGAAATCATGTCTGGCGCTGAAAACCGGCCAACATGAATGGTGGGTCTGTCTCATGGGGCCCCACTGCTAGACTAAGAACTGTATTAACTAAGAAATGTTGAAAGTGAGAAATAGTCTCCTCCAGGGATGAGCTCTGTAACTGGTATCCAATGCCTAGTTGGTGGTCAACCCTGAAATCATACATTCAAGGAACACTAAACAAGTAGAGCAGGTTGAATTTATATATTATGTTATTTATAATGTGCGCAAGTGCGTGTGCACACGCGCGCGCACACACACACACACACACACACACAGAGAAAGGTCATGAATTTAAGAGGGAGGAAGGGGAGACATAAGGAGTTATGGGAAGAAAAAGATAGGACATTAAGTGCACCCCCCCAAAAAAAAAAAAAAAAAAAAATTAGGAAAATTCAGCCAATCACTATGTAAGTTTGTAGCATGTATCCACCTACCAGAATGAGCAGTTCCTGGTTCTCATTGGATTCATTCACTGTAGCATGCATGGCATTAGTAAGTTCAGAGCTCACAGTCTGACCTTGGTACGGATTATTCGGCTTAGGGCATAGAGAGACAGACTCCATTCCACCCCTTTCCACGTCTCCATCCCATTCACAGGGGAGACAGGAAGATGAGTCAGTGCAAACGCATCACTATTCCTGGAAAACACACCCCGACACGGGCCTGGACAGCACACGGTCATAGCAGGGTGCAGGCTGAACCACACTGAAGGAAATCCTTACAGGCTTTGTGCCTCTAGCAGGGAAGTCAGTTTCTACAACACTACCTTCCAAGAGCACGCACAACAGACGAGCCTGTGAGGACACAGTACAGTGCTGCATGTCAGCTGCAGGCACGCAAGGGACATCTGTTAGCTCTGCACACGCCACTCCTGACCGCCTGTATAAAGGCTTTGTTGTAATAGGGTCCTGCTAGAGTCGGCTGCTAGAAGCACTTCCAGGTTCCGTATGTGTATACTGTTAGAGACAGGGTTAGTGAGATTAAGAAGTAGACTGCCCGGGGAGAAGGCCTGTTCTTGGTTTCACAGCAAGAGGTGGGAGTTGTCACACACATTTTTACACCCCCCCCCCTTCCTTTCCAGGTCTAAAACGGCTGATTTGGTGGACAGCAGAGGAGCACCCTCTTTCCTCTGTTTTTAAAAGAATGAGAAAAACCAAAAACCAACTCTTTCTTAATGGTAAAATCCAAGAACTCTTAAGGAGTTTATAATTGCACAGCTCGTATTCCTATTTACACAGAGAGCCCTGGGTACAGCAAGACCTGCACAAACCAAGGTGGAACCATGTCCGCTGTGTAAACATAGCTCCTCTTCCTGAGACCTCTGAAGGACTGGAGAGCCCTTCCAACAACCCAAGTTTCCAACAAGCAGCTGGGGCTAAAGAAGAAACTCGTTGTCCAAGCTGTCACTCTAACAAAGCTATCACTTAGCCATTAGTGGCAGCAAGCTGTACCCAGCTGGGGAAGGGCGTGGTCACATAGGAACCCATGTTCTGTTCTTACTGTTCTCATGTCTGCTGGCCTAGCTGCTGCTGCTCTGCTTGGAGTTACTTCCTTCTGTTGCCGTGACTGAGGACACAGAATAGCCAGGCTATGAGACACGGAGGGGCTGGCAGGCCTAGGAGGTTAATTGGGTCACAGGGGCACTAAGCAGGGAGCTGGCTCTGTCTATCTGGTAGAGGGGCTTTAGAAGCAGGAAGGCTCAGCCTGCTGTGCTTTGGATGGGCTGCCCTGCTCTTACATGGGGCAGGAACTAAATCACAGAAACCACGTGGACATTCTTCTCACTAAGCAAAGGACACGGGCATTCAGATTTAGATTAGAATAGAAGCTTTCAGTAAAGAATTACATTTTTATTTGTAAAAGTTGAAAATATTCGTATCAATTACCAGCTCAGAACCTGGGTTCCCATGGGATCCACTGCATAAAATGAGTCTGTCACTTCTTGCCAGGTTTGGGGGCCTTTTCTAGGCCTTGGATGTATTTTCCAGGGAGCCGATACTCTTCTACAATCCAAAAAGAAAGTCTTCAGCCACCCCTGGTCTCAAGTCTCTATCGCCCCTCCCTGCATTCCATGTCCCTTGGGCCCTGCCCCTTCCTGTCCACCAAACTTCCAGGGTGGTCATCCCTGCTGCTAAGGATCTGTTTCAAAAATTTCCAACACATGCCCACCTTGTGCATCCTGTTCAAGCTAGCGGAGTCTGGTGACATCCAGGATGGACCATTTACCATACACAGTAGCTGAACGGTGTATTCTGGTCATTTACACCCTGCTAGCTACAATATAGATCAGTGCTTCTCAAACTTCCTAAAGCTGTGACCCTTTAATATAATTCCTCAGCTGGGTGGTGGAGATGCACACCTTTAATCCTGACACATGGGAGGCAGAGGCAGGCAGATCTGAGTTTGAGGTCAGCCTGGTCTACAGAGCAAGTTCCAGGACAGAGAAACCCTGTCTTGAAAAAACAAAATAAAAACAAGAGAATACAGTTCCTCATGGTGTGGTGACCCCAACCATAAAATTATTTTCATTGCTACTTCACAGCTGTAACATTGCTAGCTATAAAATGTAATATAAATCTGTTTTCCAATAGTCATAGGCAACCCCTGTGAAAGGGCTGTTCCTCCCCACGTGGTCGCAACCCACAATGAGAGCCGCTGATCCAGATGTACTGAGAGATGTGTGTCTGTTCAGATGTGTGTTCATCTCTTTTGACTCTTCTTGGTCCCATTCCACCACATGTGGCTCTACACATAAAGGAGCTCAGTTTTGAAAGTTAATTGCTGTGGATTGTCATAGGCCACAGGTTAACTCTACTTATGGAGCATGTGCTATGTGCCAGTCTCTTGAGTGTAAGACGGGCGTGGGAAAGGCAAGATCTATTTCAAGTTCTATTTTGCA